TGGAGTGCTGCGTCCAGTTTTGGGCTCCACAATTCAAAAAGGATGTGGAGAATCTTGAAAGAGTCCAGGGGAGAGCCACACGCATGATCAGAGGTCAGGAAAACAGACCTTATGAGAGGCTGAGAGCTATGGGACTCTCCAGCCTGGAAAAGCGCAGGCTTGGGGGTGATCTGGTGGCCATCTATAAGTTTATAAGGGGTGTTCACCAGGATCTGGGGGAACGTTTGTTCACCAGAGCGTCCTAAGGGATGACAATGTTGAACAGTTATAAACTCCTGCAAGACCATTTCAGGCTGGACATAAGGAAGAACTTTACTGTCCAAGCCCCCAAGGTCTGGAATAGCTTGCCACCGGAGGTGGTTCAAGCACCTACTTTGAATGCCTTCAAGAGAAATCTGGATGTTTTTCTTGCTGGGATCCTACAACCCCAGCTGACTTCCTGCCCCTGGGGTAGGGAGCTGGACTCTATGATCTTCCAAGGTCCCTTTCAGCCCTAATGTCTAAGAAAATTTATGAAAATCTATGAAATTCAGATTGAATTTGGCAGTGGGTCAAAGGTTTTGGTTTCTTGTTTTTTCATTATTGGAATGTTATTGTTGCAGAGCTCAGTGAGAAGTCAAGACACAGAAGTAAAGAAGAGGAAGGCTAGCAAAAACATCATGTTTGTGTTTAGTGGTGAAAGCACCAGGGTGGGATTCAAGAGATCCAGATTTACTTCCTAGTGATCAATTCTTCTTGAGTATCAGTGTCTTAGTTTCCCTGGGTTGTATTCCTTTTGCCTTGTCAATTTAAATTGTCAGTTCTCTGTATCAAGGAATCTAGTTATCACATGACTGTACAGAGTCTAAAGCAACAAAGGCCCAAATTCAGAGAGATGCCCAGATCCTACTGGACAACGCTATCTTTCTGGGTGCAATTTAAGGTGCTGGTTTTCACTTAGAAGACCCTAAAAGGCCTGAGCCCCATGTACCTATGGGACTGCCTTCTCCCCTATACCCCACTGGGATCCCTAAACTCAACCAAGAGCAACCTCTTGCAAGTACCATCAATATACCAAGTTTGCCTGGTGAAAACGTATGTAGGTCATTCTCGGTAGTGACCTCTCAGCTCTGTAACTCATTCCTCCCTGAGGCCTGGACATCTTCCAGAAGTGTTTTAAGACCTGCCTAATGGGTAGACTTTTAGCAGGCAAGTGTATTGTTTGATAGAAGGCAGGGGGGAAGAGGTGCTATATAGTTTATTTTAATATTCTACTGGCTTTTATTAGGTATTCTGTTTCTCCTGTTTTGTTCTTGTTTTATAAGTTATTTTGCTTGCTTCTGCTAGCTGTCCTGAGCTTTTGTCAGGATGGACAGATATAAATCTAACAAATAAACAACTTATTCTATTCATCTGCAACAATATTTTCTCCACTGCAGGAAGTCAGTACATTAAGTAAAACTCTGAACTGGAAAGTTTACACCTTCATACAGGCCAGCCTTTGCAACATTAAATACCGTTTAATAATCTTACCTTGCAATAGCTCTGATGAAATCGAGAGAGACAGTACATTTGTATCTTGGTCCATCAAGTTGGTCATCATGGCCAACCAAGGTTAACAGCTGCAGTGTCACAAGAGAGCTAATCTGGAAATGAAAGAAATCACTGAAATGTTAATCACTTTTACAAATAAGAATAGTAATGATGACATTTTCATTTGCTATTAGCATACCTTCTCTAAGGTATGTTTCATAGGAAAATCACATATTGAGCTATGTTGGCCAACTGACCTTCAACTAGTTTTGGGAGAATCAAGAGGGTATAAACTCATATTACCAGTTTTGGAACACAGGCAGCCTTATGTGCAAGGGCAAGGGCACCTTATATCAGGGATTATCTTTAAATTCTCTTGATCAAATCCCTCCACAGGTTCAGAGGCTGCCCTTGCAAGACAAGACATGTTATAAACTCCCTCCCCTTTGCATCTGGAGGCCACTCCCTGAGTCCGATGCCCCAGAGCTCTGAGACAGATTACTGCACTCTGCAACCAGGCCTGTAGAATCACCTTGTTTTGCTAAAAGAAAGAGAAGCCACAAGGTTGCAAGCCTAGAGAAGGGTACCTGAAGACTGAATGCTAAATCAGAAACCCATCACACTGCAGGAGTAGGGCTAGATGAAGAGAAGGAAATGCATGATTATATGCAAAAATGTTCTCTCTTCCTTTTTCCAAATGATGACTGACATCACAGCAACTAGGGTTTCTGTGATATCAGGACTGAGCACATTAGAACATTCAGTGTGATCATCTCACTGTGCCTTTCTTTGTGATAAGGGCAACAAGAACAAATACTCGTTTTGGCCTCTCCTCAGTCGATGGTGCTTCACCATAACCAGGTGACACTATGGGTGCCTGTACATAAAGCTGCTCCATTACAGTGTGTCAGAGGAGACTCAATTAACCGAGTCAGCTGGAGCACGGCATTTATCACGCTCCAGCAGCCTCCCACATCTCATGTATCAGTGCCCCTGCACTTCAAAATGTTGGTGGGGGCACTTGAACTAAAGCTCGTTGAACTTGAACTTCCTAATGAGCTTTAGTTCAAGTGCCCCTTCCACCATTTTTAAGCCTGCTGATGCTGATACATGAGACACTGTGGTGCTTTAATTACAGTGGCTCTCAGAGCCACTCTAATTAAAGTGCCACCCCTTCCACCTCTGGAACATGTGTAAAAGTGCCCTACGCTACCAGGATCCCAAGCAGGGAGATGAGGTGTCACAGAAACAGCTCCACGTTTAAAAAATCAAAATGCTGACTAGTTTACATGTACTGCAGTTTAACATATTAAATGCAAGTGGATCCCTGCATTAGGAAACTACATGTTAATTCAAACCATCCGGAAAGCAAGTATTTAAACAGCTACTGTAAATTTGCATGATTACAAATAAAGCCTATGAGAATATTGAGCATTCAAACATTGCTCATCTTTCAAAATTGAAGTCACCCCCAAACTCTGTTACTTTACTTGAAGAAAATGAGAATAATATTTTAGCATTTAAACAAATGGGTGGTGTACTAAAAAACTGACATTTTCTCTTGTGGGCAAAGACTATGAATGAGATGATGCTTAATATATTTAGGGATTCATTTTTTGTTTATAACGTATGACAATATAGGTCTTGATATTAACATTCTGAAATGATTGGGCTTGATCATAATTATTGCTTCAATTGTTCTTACATTCCTGAATGCTGCATGAATTAAATCAAGTCTAAAAATTATGTTAAGGGCAGCTGATGATTCACAGTTAATGTTGTTAGTAACTAGTGCATTTAGAGAAAGTAAGCTGAGTGTATGATAAATTACTCAAAGTCCTAATGTGAAAATCTCTTTGCTTTCAATTTAATGACATTTCTCCAACCCCAAATTTGTTAGGGTTTTATTTTATTAAATAGTCTAAGTTAAGTCAGAAGGGCACATTTTTCTACATTCTTCATTCAATCAGGTCTTTATTCAGTCAATGAAGAAGCATAATGGAGTAATCTGTTATTACAACTGCTATTTTACACCCCAGTGAACCATTATTGGCTAATCATTTCTGCAGAATATGCTTGCAGCTGGCCTCTTACATTTAGAGACTACCAATGAAAGCAGGTCATGTCCCACAGAAGGAATGGCATGAGGCTCGTAAAAGCTTCCAATGAACACACCATAAGCCTAGGTAGTTTGGATCTGGACCCATCTAAATATTATGTAGGATGCAGAAATCAAAAGTGACCTTGCTGTTGCATTACAAACGTTCCAGCACTGCATTAACCACAAATTGTAACCAATTTTTCCTCCTCTCCCCAAATGCTGTATATGGAAGAGAAGGTCAGCATTGTAAAATTGCTTACTAAATCCTCTGTCTATAAATCTGAAACTATGTCAGGCTGGGAACTAGGTTTCTGATTAATGTTTGATGTTCTCTCTATATGTTACAAAAGATATGAAGGTCTGATCATCATTTAGCATAAAACAAGACTATTTACCTGGTAAACCTCAGCCCTTTGATCTCTTTCACAAATCCTTGCAAGTTGAATGCAAGGTTCATGCAATACATGTGCATCTAGAATCAGCTAACCCTTAATATTTAAATAATGGGTCATAAATCTTCAGATACTTAAGCTGCTTTAAAAGCAAAGGATAGAAAGGCCCATCACTTCCGCTTCATGCCAATTAGCAACGTAGATTTGAAACTCTAAAGACAAGCTAAGTGGAGAAGGCCTAGATCGAGAGAAAAGACCAAGTTTGAGAATAGCAAATTACATTCAGAGAACTTCATTTTTTTCTGCTCTCAAGTGGTTTCCACATCTCCCCATTCCTGACTAGCAGGCAGCCACCAGTAAAAAGGTATGGAGAATTTCAACAATTAAACATACGCTGCCCTACTAAATCGGGCATATGACTGCTTCTGACTCTACACAATAAAACAGCTCTGGAAAGCCTGCACTGAGTTCCAACTGGCAGCTTAGCCAATATCTGATCTAGATGCAGGCAGATGGACAAGCCATTTTTACTACACTGTGAATCCTAATGCTCACTCATTGTAGGTCATATTAAAAACACTCAGCAATGCATGCCACCATATATTTGGATAAACACTCCTCAGAGGATGCTGGAGTGAGGAAAACAGAGACTGTTGAGATAGGTAAGATAAGGCAGGAGAGAATATGGCAATACTTACTGGTCTGATTCACATGACTGAATGGTATTGTTACTCTGACTAATGAATAACATAAAAATATAACATTATAATATATAGCTTAATCCACTTAGGCATGTGCAGATGGCATCTCTCTTCCAGTGGCCCCAAAAGACAACATACAGATGATAGCCTAGAATGTTTTCATAATAAGCAAGTAAAACCCCAAAGCTGTTTTGAATGTCTAAAATGGCATGACATTTGCCTCTCTCTGGATCAGAATGAGTCCTGGTACAAACAAAAAAAGACCCTCTGAGGGTGACTGTTTGAACCAAATGAACTCCAGCACCATTTTTTTATATAAATTTGAAGAATACATAACTTTTGTTCCTTTACAACACAGTGAAGGCGACACCTCTCTAAAAGATGAGCCAGAATCCAAACTAACAGTTTTTAGTTCTTACTTAGCCTTTTTCAAGTTGCTCTCTTTAGTGGCAAGCAAAATTAAAAGCAATCACCTAAAGGGGGCTCAGAGGATGGCTCCATTAACTTTGTAACAACAGGTTTTACATCTCATGTTGGAACACACACACAAACTGGTGGAAACGCATCAACAAATCATTTACAGTATCGTGTGATGGAGGTATAGTGGACTCAGCAGACTAACTACCTGCTCTACGGCAGTATGTTCTTACAGCAGATGGGAGCTTTTTGATTACAGACAAGTAGAGGCAGAAACATGCAAGTGCTATAGAGTCCAAGAAAGATTACGCAGAAGTAGCCAGACTTTGCATAGCTTTCTCTACCACATTTAGAAAGAGTCATGAGCAGCAATTGTATTTTGATACTATACATCTTGGGCAGAAAAACAAAACATCCCTTCTGATAGGCCTTTCTACAAATGTAATTTTCTTTCATTGTTCATTCCTCTTGTATCGTCTCCATTTACAGGTAAACCCTATCTACCACCCCTTCACTCATGCAGAAACAGCTTGGTTCCTGTCCCTGCTGGACCACAAAATCTCAAAATATTTATCATTTTTTCCCATCAAATGGAGAAAGTTAGCAGTTTAACATCTCTGCTACCTTCCAAGAAATGCCTGGAGTTTATTAAAAGGTAAATGATTAGAGTAACAACCTTCAAGGATAAATGTGGAAGGTTCTACACCAAATTTGAGATTTTTCCCCCCGAAATGAACACCATGCAGAAACTGTGGTAAACATGGTTGTGGTACGCCAATCATGGAAGTCTTAAATGATACTTTAAAAAGGAGAAAAGGCGAAGAGGTGAAGACAGAAAATGCATCCAAAGTGGCCAGGGCCAGAATACGTTTTACAAGAAGGATATTTATTGCAAGTGGCTGTGAATTTTCCAACTTGTGTCCTGCGGGAAAGGCTTAGCAAATTGTTCACACTAGCCAACTCTCATGACCTCCATTCACAATTACCATCTTACACATATATAGTTACAGAGAAATCACAGGTCCTGAGGCTTGGTAGGTGCCATGGGTGCGCAGAAAAAATAACAGTGGCAAGCTAGTAAACGAGAGGTAGTAAATGCCAGTGGCAGATAAAAAAGAAATGGCATCAATTTGTATATCCAGGAGTTCTGGAATTTACAGAGCAGCAGCAGAATGTATCATGTCGTGCCATTCATGGGCTGGATGTGTGACCCTTAAAACCTTTTGTGTATTCAAGTCTTGTGCTCAAAGCTAAGGCCAAAGAATAGGAAGCCTTTGTAAGCAGTGTCTTTAAAAAAATCCAAATTTTTAACCTCTTTAAATACACCCATGCAAGAACACAGCTATTTTAGTTCAACACTGGACAAATGTTAATAGGGCAGGATTCTTCTGCTGCCATCCTATTAACAGTGGAAATTCTTTTTGGAAATGCTTATTCACATAAAAAATCAGATTTAATACAATTAAAAATACTAGCAAATTCATGGAGCAGTTTTTGCTGAA